GTATTATACATTTTAGGAATCAGAATTAAAAACTATTGATCTTTGAAAAAATCTGATATAGCGTCTATAAGAAAAAATAATGTTCTTGCTGGAAGACAAGGAACTAAATGACATTAAAATTCTAATTGTGCCATCTTGTAGAAGATAAAAAGTGGCATTCTGAATGTGCAATTTATTTTAAAGTCCCACTACAAATGGAGGCAGGAAAAAATTAAAACGATTCTGGGAAAATTCGATTTTTTCCGACTCTCTGAAAGTACTTTCACCTGAGACTGCGGCACACTCGTTGTCTCAAGCCCTCAGAACCGTTTCCCTTTTAGCTTCATTTTCACATGTGTAAATAGTGCAAAGTCGCAGGGAGTAAGATCTGGACTGTAAGGAGTGTGCCGAATAAGTTTCAGTCCAGTAGTGGTTAAATATTCGGAGCAGGCATTGCCGCGGTGAGCTGGAGCGTTGTCATGGTGGAGGTACCAAGTGTCCATCCTTGACTTTGGCCGCAGGTTTTTCATAGACTCTATGACTTTACGCAGGCACTGTTCCGTTGTACCACTTAGCTGTGACTGTTTTCTGTGTATCCAAAACGACACGCTCTACAATCCCCCGCGATTTGAAAAATACAGCTATTACTTTTTTGTAACACATCAGGATTTCCTGACAGCTACGGATGTCAGATTCCTAAACTTTGTTTTGAGATTGCCCCGTATCAAACATTTTCAGCATCTTTTGGCACCAAGTCGTACGACGAGTCTTCTGCTTTTCCGTCAAACTATGCGGTACCCACAGAGAACAAAATTTCCTTAACTGTATGGTAAATGATCCAGCAGGATTGAATGAATTGCTGGTGCATGAAGGTGTAGGGTCTCCTCTATCTTTTGGTATAGTTGGTTTTTCCGGATTTTGATGAAATTTTCACACAAGGATAAAAAGCGTTTTGGTTTTTGGAAATTGGTCCAGTGGCGGCGGGGTGGGTCACGAAAAACGGAAAAAATTAAAATCCCTGCAACTTCGTTTTTGACGTTTCAGAGACGCCTCATCATGCTCGGAAATATTTTTGTACTGATTGAAATTCGGGGGATGGGGAGGGTATATGAAAAATGTTTGATCTCAGTATATTTATACGCTCTCAACCTCGGTAATTATATGCTGCTATTAGCCATATTTCACACATCATAGATTTCTCCGTATATTTGGCTTTAAAACTTATAATGATGGAGAAATGTTTTCGATCCGCGTAATCCTCGAACATATATACTAAGTGACATATAAATCCGAACACCCAGTTTAAATGGTTTTATTTTAATAAAAGTTGGTGAATGTATTTATCTTACTGTAAATAACAAGTGACAAAATTTTCAGCCTTATCAGTTGAACATTCTGGTTTTTATACTGCTTTTTTTTAATTCACTAACGCTCTAAAAATGAATATTTCAGCCGCAGTAAAGAATCAACGTTGGCGGATTTTGGTTCTTGACATCCTTTACGATCGGTTACGATGCCTAGAGTACGGAGACCTGTACGATTTCGTCAACTTAGTGAGTTTGATAGGGGCCGTATAGTGGGACTTCGGGAAGCTGGACTTTCTTTTCGGGCAATTGCAGTTAGAGTGCAAAGAAGTGTAGACACTGTGGTTAGGTGTTGTCAGGCATGGCTTCGAGAAGGCCGTACGCAAAGAGCAAGGGGCACTGGACGCCACCGTAGAACAACAGACCGTGAAGATCGCCGCCTAAGATTATTGGCCTTAAGGGACCGTTTCTCCACTACCAGGTCCATTGCAAATGATTGGTTTGCAGAACACGGAAGACCTGTTGGCATGCGACGTGTTTACCGACGAATTAGAAGTGTTGGCTTGTTTTCATACCGGCCACACTGGGTCCTCCCTTTAACTCGAGAACACCGACGTAATCGCCTTGAGTGGTGCAGACAACGGTCACTCTGGGATCAGGAATGGAACAGTATTGTCTTTAGTAACGAGTCTCGATTTTGTTTAGGCATGCACGATGGTCGTGCCAGGGTTAGAAGGCGACGTGGTGAAAGGAGGAATCCACAGTTTTTTGTTGAAAGACATGTTCATCACACTGTTGAAGTTATGGTTTGAAAGGAGGAATCCACAGTTTTTTGTTGAAAGTCATGTTCATCACACTGTTGGAGTTATGGTTTGGGGTGCTATAGCTTATGGTTCCAGGTCACCTTTAATCTTGATCAGAGGTAACATGAACGCGCAGCGTTATATCCACGAAGTTCTAGAACCCCATCTTTTACCCTATCTTGACACCCTGGCAGATCCAACTTTCCAACAAGATAATGCCCGACCACATGTTGCAAGAGTCACAATAGACTTCTTTCAACATAATGATGTCACATTGTTTCCATGGCCACCAAGATCTCCCGACTTATCCCCAATTGAGCACGTGTGGGATATGATGGGTAGGAGATTGCTCAATTTGCAACGTCCTCCTCAGACTCTAGAAGCACTTCGAGAGGAGTTGGTGGTTGCCTGGAATGAGATACCACAGGAGGACATTGACCACCTGATCAGAAGCATGCCTAGGCGCAGTTGGAGAATGCGTAGCACATCAGGGTGCATCCACACATTATTAAAGGTCAAAGGGCTTTAAAGCAGTGCAATCATTTTGAAATTTGTATCATTTACTTATTATGCTTCATGAAGTACTTATACAAAATTTTATTAAAATAAAACCATTTAAACTGGGTGTTCGGATTTATATGTCACTTAGTATACATATACCTGAACCACGCACGAAATCAGCAACTCCCTACAGTGATGCCGGGCAGATGTGGAACGGGACAACGCTGCCAAATGGACAGTACCTGTAGGGCAGGGAAAGAATGTCTATGGACTAATTATATGGACCTATTTGATTGACTAAATCCGTTCAATTTATGTGTTGTACATGTTCGTAACTGACTTTTTTCTCAGGTGATTTAAATTACACTAAACTTAATCCTTTATGATGGATGACGGCGTTGCGTAGAAAGTACAGAGTCAACCTACTTGACGGCAACATTTAAACATGTAAGAATTCGAATTCAGCAATGATCGTTGAAATAGAAATATACCCAAAAATTTAGTGTCACTGCATAACTTAACTTTAGTGGTTTGTCATTTAATTTTACATTTGGATCGGCTAATATCTCCTGTATATTATGAAACCTGACCAATGCAGTCTTTTCGGAAATTTAAAATAAATGATTCTATTCAAACCATTCATTCTGTTGTTTTAAAATATTATTAAAATTTATAATGTTGTTCATAATTATCCGACGGTATTATTGAGGGATCATCCGCATACACATTGTTAAGCTCACTTGATTATTCATCAGATTATCATCAAGATCATTTATATACAAAATTTTAAGGAGTTATTGTGGAGTCTTAGTGGACACTGGTTGTTCATCTTTTAAAATCGATTCACTGACTATGAGTTATGAGCAAAAAACAACAGCTCGTTCTCAAACTACAGGTATGTAGTAATCTTTAGGCGTATTTATTCAAGGTTTATTTTGTGAATTTCATAGAGTATCCTAATAGGTACTTTATGGTTTAAATTCAACACCATTTTTCAGCGACTTGACGTATACTAGAATATATTACGTATGGGTCAATTAGAGACCCGGCATTTTAATTATGGTTCGTTTCATGTCGAATGGATCAGAACTGTGCAACCGAACTAGGAAGATTGTATCTCATTTGTCATACAAAACATTATTGACGTTCATATTCTCCAATTGGGTCCATAAAAAATTATTTTAACATGTTGCTATCTTACCATCGTTATTTTCATGAAAAAGTGAGAGGTTTTGCAGCTCGTATTCACAATTCTGATATCATTTCAAAAACCAACTAAGTGACATATTTCCAAAATACTTTTCTTGCTGGAAACTCTTCCTTATGCGTATTATAGGCATACTCCACTTAAGTAAATATCATCCCATCTCCTTGAAATGGTATCCTTGATTTGTTTTTCTTTTAATATTTATGAGAATTATGCTCCAAGGTAATTTTGAATGCACAAGAAGTTTTTCGGGATTTTTCCATCATTATTAATAAACTGTGGAGGTTATTCAGCACTTAAAAAAACTCAAATACTATATTAATCCCAAAAAAGTTCTTTAACTGGTTTATTTGTCAATGAAAAAGTTTCTTGTATCATCTGTAAAATTCATATTGTGCCACTATTAACCTATTTTTTCGTTTGATACCGCACACAAAATTAACCTGATTGGTCTTACTAGCGTCTAGGTTGCAAACTTTGTGTCCGGACTCAACTGAAACAAAAAATAGATGGAGATATTTTAGAGGGTGATTCCTTGTTAAAAAATATGAAAAAAGTTTTCAAGATTCGGGGTGATAAATTTTAAAAAAATTTATTAATATCTTAAAAATATGCACTTGATTCTTTTGAAAATTAGAAATGTTATTTTTTGTATTAATATGCTAATTTAGCCCTAAATAGATTAAAATTATTAGGTCCAGTGGCGTCACGGAGGGCACCTTAGCGAATATTATCGGCAAAAAATGTACGCCACTGCCTTTTTTGTAACTTTAATATTTGTTGTTTGATTAAGCATCTAAAAATACAACTTCCTTACCTCATTTGGTTTTCGAGAAAAAAAAAATTAAAACCCTGTTCCCAAATTCGTTGAAAACGTCTTCTCATTGGTCTAATTTATGCCATAGGCGCAAATTTTGATTTCGTGGGTCAATAGTAAAATAAATCGAGCCTATTAGGTTTTCGAAATAACTGAACCAATTAAATTGTGTGGTCTCTTATTGACATACGCAATACAAATTTTCTAAGTGAATTCGTTGAAACATTACGCCAAATTTAGATTCCGAAGTACATATTTGGAAACTCTTTATCATTAATGCTTCAAACAGAAAATCTTCAATATATACGTTTTGAAAACTCATATATAGACGTCTACGGATGCGTGGTAAATACCGATTCAATCTACTTTACATTCGTTTTCTTTTACAGCTAACGTAGTGGGTTGGTCATACAACACCACTCGTAACACGACCAATTACATCCCAGTATCGGGCAATTGGACTGCATCATTAGCTCCTGAACGTGGCGTTTGTGATCGGCCGAGTCTTCTTGTGATGATGGTATGTTCGGCGCCTGCAAACATTGAGGCGCGTCAGGCGATCAGAGACACCTGGGGATCTGACAAGAAGATACAGGGACATAACTTGTCGGCGTATTTTCTTGTAGGGGAGACTAACAATATTTCTATGCAGGTGAGTAATCTTTGGTTAACGTGATGGTCTAAAAAGCATTATAATGCCAGATATTTTATATTATGCATAATTCATAGTTAGTTGATATTATGAAGGACGTGCATGGCAAAACTCAAAAAGATGCAAAGTATCCATTTTGCACAGACCCCCTAGGCAAATAATTTAAATCACAAATAATTAGAAACTAAATTTTATACAAAAATATTGTGCAAACTGAACAGAATAACCATAGATGCTTTTGGAAGATTGTTCCTGACACCACTCAAAGTATACATTACAGTGTCTGCCTCCATCAATTTGCAGTTTCGCACAAATGAATTTTCATATCCACAGATAACCAGTTTTAAATTCATAAGCAACAAAAATAAGGATACTTGTGAATTCGGTATCCACTTTGCTCTGTCCCCTTTGCCCGAAGCCACTTACTTAGCAACTTTCTTGATTTCTACCAAAACTCTCATCATTTGTTCAACTGGAAAAGAACTTTTAAAGTACATTGTATACATTAAAAAGCTGCTGGTATAGAAAGTATAAAATTGGAATCACCTATCTTGCAAAATCAATCTTTTTATTGCAAAACTCTTCTCTATCAGACAATCTCGGAACCCTTTCGCACCGGCGGGCCGTCGGCGATCTAGCTCTCTTGTACTGCTACACCAACGGGCTTTGCTTCTCTTCCATGATGCCTCCGCGCGATGTGCCGCCTGACTTTGACCTTCCATCCTTCGTATATCCAGAACTGACCGATACGACCGCTGCTTTATTCCGAGGGTGTCGAGATTGTGGAACAATCTACAAGAGGAGGCTTCTCCCAGTTTTACTAACCTTAGGCAGTTCAAAAATCGGATTAACAAAATTTCTTTGGGATACTCATAACAGCCGCGGTGTCGCGGCATTTAGGCTTCTGCCTGCGCGGCTGCTTCGGTGTATAAAAAAAGCTATGAAACTCTTCTGTCAGTGTCAAAAATGATCGCCATTTCGGCGGAGAAAATCGCATGTGAATTCCCTATTACAACGATGAAAGAGGTTAGTGTTCAGCAGCAGCCGGCGTTGCCACGTAACATGCCAGCGGCCTCAGATATTCTTTGCAATCATAAAATGATAATATTTCGAAATGATCTGTGTGAATCAATAATAAAAAGGAGTATGTTTGTTCAAGAAGAAGAGACGGGTGACTATTGATTTATGAAAAAGCTTCAAAATAAATTTCTAATGGTGGAAGTATCTACAATAAACGGAAAAAAGTTTACTTTCGCTATGTATTCTACGCTGCTGCGATATAACTTATCCATTGCATTTTCAGTGTAACCAGTGCCAGAAGCACCAGACAAATATAAGCTTAACTCGATCACAAGAGTTTCGGTGCGTTTCTCACAGAAAAACGAGAGCGCATGTACATTTAAATGAGAGATTTAAGAAGCATTGTTCATCAGTCAAACTAAACCATTTTGCACGAATATTTGTTTATTCTTTGCCTATTCTAAACAAATTCATTTAAAAAATATATGTGTTTTGTCATATAATTATGAATCAGCTTGTGGAGAGCGGCATATTTTAAAAGTAAGAGCGTATAGTCGCGTAGTTTATAACTAACTTTTCTAGGTATTTAATGTGGAAGCATCCTATCTGAGGAGTCATCAGAGATGTCAGGTTTGATTGCAGTGTTTCAACAGTGTTCATATTGAAAATGGAATGAATTGAATTGACAATATCGCATCAGCAAAGAATGAATGCCAGAAGTAAATATTTGCTGTTTATTGTATTTACTTGCACCAATACGAATTTATGTTAAATCTTTTTCAGAAATAAATAGTCATCAGTTCTTCGTCGCTTCTTTTTGGTCAAACACATTAGATATTACTTTTTATTGTTTGCTCACACAAACTACACCAGATCATATCTGAGTAGTATAATTTTAACGATTGCAAATAATACCTGAGGCCGCTGGCAGGATACGTGGCAACACCGGCTGTTGCTGAGCACTAACACCTCTTTCATCGTTGTTGTACATTCGACTTTCTCTGCTGAAATGGCGGCCGTTTTAACAGTGACAAGAGAGTTTCATAGCTGATTGTTATCTAAGCTGTTGTTTGGATGTCAAACGGGAAAGTCGCTATCCCCGGGTTTCTCCCATGCGACATATTTTGGAAATGCAACAAAAATACAACTTTGTTTCTGCATTCACCTCATTATGAATAAATTAAGATCTAAGCATTTTCTTTCAACTTGGCAACACTGCATGGGCCCTTTTTGTGCTTCTGTCAAACTTTCAAAAGTAAATGGGACAAAGACAGATTTGATAGGAAGGTAACCTATTTTTTCCACGACTTGAACATATTTTCACTAGGCTTGAGACATAAGACTCTTTTCTCTGAACTCGCTCATTTCGTTCATCTCAACGACTTCATAAGGTTAGACTACGCATGTATACGTGTCATTGTTTGTAACCGCTTCAGGGGTGCAAGGGGACAGGTGAAGACTGTTTTGTAAACAAACGTTCGACGATTGACATTCATTTTCCATAGGCGTATCAATATTTTGTTTAAGTAGGTTACCAATTCATTCATACAGAATCTCATTGCACTTCAATGTACCCAAAATATCCGTGTTTCGGATTTTCACGATTTCAAGCGAGAAAAATTTGCAAGTTGTACAATATGTAATCATTATCCCGATATTGACTTGAACGAGTTCACAACTAAGAACGAGTTGTTTAAATAGACAATGTTCATGAAAAATATCCAAAGTTTAGAGCCAGCATGCCATAAAATAAAATGTTCCCTTGCAAGGAATGCAATGTTTCCACCGAAACTAAAAAGTTGGCAGTGTGCAGTCACTCTAAATTATTGGGTACATTCAGTTATATTTGGTAGCATCTCAAGCTAGTCCCAAAAGAACATATTCTGATGCAGTGTATTTAAGAGGATTTGGGTTTCTGTAGGTTTATTATAATTTTTATAAAACAGTAACAGTGGATACAGGTAATGGGATAATTAAACAACAAATGTTTGAAATATTTTAATTCAGTTATTATAATAATAATAAAACGTCTTTAATAGAAATATGATATACACAATACAATAAATAATTTACCCCTATGTAGCTACTTTATCCAAACATATTAAATCTATATTAAACAGTATAAGAGGCGCGTACAAAATTTCAAAATAATAAAAAGACAAAATTTACTCTTGAACGCAGTCACATTATAACCTCACACATACCCCAAGAAAAAGATGAGGCAGCATGCCATATGTAAGCTCATACTTATAGCTCTTGGTTGCTCAGTAGTAGGATATGAGAGATCAGGGTAGAGTTGATGTTGTAATTGTAAAGAACGATAGCAGCATGAGGACAAATAAAACAAGGTTGTAAAATTCAAACAATATTAGAAAAAAACCCCAAACAATAAGCAAAAATTGAGGTAAGAATCACATGAAAAGAATGATTTATCTTTTGATCTACTCTCGCAAAGAGTGGACAAATCTGAGTTTAAAACAGGAATGGTCCCATGCGCTGGTGGTGAAATGATGTGATGACTGTGCCCCATGTACAAGTGCAATGTTGGTGTAATGATCATAGCACTCAAAAAGGCGATGTTGGTTCCCCTCACCAAAAAGTAATGTTGGTGCCCCTCAAAGTGGAAGGTTTTATGATGATGATGTCCCATAGAAAAAAGGTATCGGTGATGGTGCCCCCCCCCCAAAAAAAAAGAATGGGAGAAAAGTTGGCTTCAAGTCCCATTCATCTCACAAGAAACACAAATCATTGACTTCTTTAATTTATTTTGATCATCTCGAATGATCTGAATCACGTAAACTCAGCTGAGGCGTTCTAACAGGTTGAAAGGTCAGAGATGAAAATAACAAAATGTAGAGAAAAATCATATCAAAGTTTTACTGATTTCTGAATAGTATGCTTTTTGTGAGGTCACTTCTGTATCGTCTACCAAATTCTGATGCTAAATTTGACTCGTGGTGTAACCTTAGCCTTATGTATTTAGCCAAAATCATCTTTGTCAGCTGCAGTGAATGATTGTTTTCGAAGCTATCATCTAGAACATGGTCACCAAATACTTCAAATATTGATGTATTTAACTTCCTTAGTGTATAGCTTACTAAGTATTTTTCGATGTTTCCAAGTTTATTGCTAAATATGCTGGAAATGGCTTTCAAGGACCTTACAGACCTCTCCCCTTCTTCACAGACTTTTATAACATAATTAGAAGCTCGTGTTAAGTTGCCATATTGCTTCCTTTTTTGCAACAAAGAACGTGTTTCACTGGATTCCATTAGCAGCAGGCATTCATGACAAGATACACACTTTTTCAAATTTTTCACCACAAAGCCAGATATGTATGCGACAATATCACAGACATACCGAGTTAGCTGCCACAGATGTAATGAACAACTACCAAATATTAAAACTTCTGTAGTATTCTCCATATAATCATCATTCTCTGAAAGAATGTTGCCACAATTAGTTTTAGTCAAAGTGTTGATATATGTAGTGCCTAGAATACTAGTGTTGTCCAGTGAAACAACATTTCCATACTTGGAGCCCTTAATGTCACAATGCAAAAGTAATCTCTTGAAAATACTTTCAAATTGTCGAGCAGTTGGATTATTATTACATCCTCCCTTACTACGCACTGCGCTAAAAAATAGCTCAATATGGTCTTGGGACAGCTTGTATGTCAATATGTAATTCAAGTATTTGAATTCAATGACATATTCTAGATAAAATTGCTGTAAACTAGCCATACAAATCAAAAATCCCAGGAAACCCGTTTTCCTTCTGCATTGAAGTACTGGGGTTGTTTCTGTCTTAAGACCTTCAAAGTATGTCTTGCACTGTTCCAAATATACAAATATCTGCTGAGCATTATTGACATCTAAGCCTTGTTTGAATTCGTATTTTGAGTATCTCGAATTACTATTAAAAATGTCAAAAATATTATTTATCATTTCAGCAAAGTTGGCAGTTGCTGAAGCACCTTCAAATTCTTTCAAACCTAAATCTGTTTCCAGAAACCTCAGTGCATCAGCAACACTTTTACTGAATGTTTGTGCTGCTAGGCATACCTTCATTTTTTCATTTTCCCATTTCACATGTCTTTCTTTAATTTTGGTAGCAGCTCTTAAGCCTTCATTGTTTTGAATGTTTACCAACTTTTCAAAGTATTCCCAAGAAACTAACTCATCTTGATCTGTCTTGAAATTTTTATAAGTTGCTAAGCAGTTCCTGATTAATTTTAGCATGTGACATGGATCGAGATAAACGTACACCCTGTGCGAATCAACTGGATGTGGGAACCAGGTTTTTAAGTTTCCAATTTTCAGATCAGCTCCCAAGTGTTTTATCATCGAAATATTTTGAGAGGCCCCATCAAATGTTACTGAACAAATGATAACACCTGTATCGTGAATAAAAGTAAGAAGATTTGATACTAAGTTTGCCTGTTCCTCTCCACTTAGACCATTGATGAAGAAGTATCCTACAGGTAGCTTCCATTTGCCATTTATAGCCACTAGCATCATAACCAATGCTTCTTTAACCTCAGGAAGTTTATCTCCATCCATATCAAAACCCAAGTCAATGTATCCTGTCCACTTTTGGCCATTCCATTCTATTCGCCGCCTAATTGCCATTGAATCCATGACCAGATTGCACAAAACTTTACGGCCATGCTTCTGTTCCGTTTGTACTTTACACAGTAAGTTGTTTTTTGCCTCCATGCTGAAGCCAGGTGCACCATTTATCCGTTGGTACCATTTTATTAGAGTATGGGGGTGTGGTAGACTTTTATTGAATTGCTCTCTCACAAAATCGTAAGCTTTTGAGCTATAAAAATGCAAAGTTAATGCAAAAGCTCTGAGAGAAGCATTATATTTTTGTTTTGACTTCCCCTTGATAAATCGTTTCAGAATTTCCTTTGTGCCATCATCCACTGATGCCTGAAAACAAATATATATTCATGGAATAATCATGTTACAAAGTAGAATATTATTGAAACTTTGCATAAAACCAAAAAAAAAAACATAAATCTTTTTCAGTATTGTAAACATGTTAAACTAAAATGGAAACAATAAGTTCTAGGCTAATTGAAGTGTGTAGCAGCATGCAACTGATACCTACATTCAAAACTAGTCCTGCATTTGGCGTCAAACCACATGTCTCCCTCAAATACTCCATTAATGATTGCTGGGAATATACTTTAGACTTCAGTCTGCGATTTTGCTGCTGAAGATTTTTAATTTTCTTTTTCAGAGACGCTATTGTTTTTTCTGCGCTACCTACAGTTTTGCCAGAAATGTTCCATACATGCTTATGCATTTTGGATCTGAAATAATAGATATTACTTTGTGTGCTCATCATTATCAATTTTGAAAACTTGAACTCACCTTTGCTGCATTATTTGCCTATGCCTAGTCATTTTCCCCGAGATGCTTGGTAGTTCTCTAGGTTCATCATCAGAGCTTGCAGTAACTGTTGCTGACAATGAGCTGGCCGACAGAGTAATTGAACTATCATTTCTTGCCAAAACAGTGTCAGAGTTGTTACTATAAACAAAAATATATGTCAAAATGAATGTATACAGTTGCAGTAAACTAATCCATTCGACTGATGAATAGTATTATTTAGTCACTAGGGACAGTAGAAAGCAAACAACATGTTATTGACCAAGAATTGGATTTTGTTGCCAAAATAATCAATTCAATTAAGTACAACAGTATAGCTCGAATTCGTTAAGAATAAAATAAAGCTTTAACTTCTCATGAATAGTGTTGTTTGGTCAACAAAGCAGTAAAATGGAAACAAAACTATTAACAATACAATTTTGTCATTCATTCAATGACCTGGGAACTATCAAAGTAGCTGGAATTCAACATATAAGGTCTTTAATGGGCATCAGAACTTGAATGAATAACAGCAATACCTTATATTGCATTCAGATGCTGTCACTGTAGTTGAAGATATTGACAAGACATCACAGTTGTCTGATTGAGGACTTGTCAGTCTCTTCAGCCCTCCATCTCTAACTGCAGCACTCATAGATTCATTCCTGCAAGAAAAAAACAAATTACTGTTAGTGAACCAAGCACTACAAATGAGTGTTAGCTAAAAACTGAAGAAACGAAGATTCAGTTCCTGCCATCTGAAAATGATTTTCCAAAACATAGGTACTCTAATGTATAAACAATTCATAACCTTTTCCGCTTAGGAGTAGAATGTCCAATTTTGCCATCGGTACTTGTGAAGGTGTGCTCATATTCAATGATGATCTCTGCAGGTTCAGACATCCTATTGCTACTTGTACTGATATCGACATCCGGGTTCTGATCCTCACAATGATCTGAGCCAACCAAATCCATTTCAGTAACTGGCAGCACGACGAACGAGTTGGAAAACTAGAAATACATAACCATGCGTTAAGCCATTATCATTATTCAAAATATTCCAAGTGAAATTATTCTTATCAAGCTATTAAGAAACCTAGGACTAAGGACAACCCAACGACTTCATATGATGTCGTTGGGACGACCATGCATTTTGAGGTTATAAATGCGTTAATTACTTACACACGAAAACTCACGTTGGATTACTTCCAGTATGGTCTGCCACAAACTACACACACTTGTCTTTAATTATTGTCTATTTCTACCAATTTTTCACTCACGACTCACTGTATATTAGCTGCTTTAACACAACGGAACAAAGAGTTCACAGTCAACAAATAAACATGGGGCTGATAGAGTCAGACGCTTCATAGTCCAGTCAGTTTAAGCAAAAAAAATCGATGCGATACTGAAACGAGATACAGTCAGAGAAATACGCATTAATTATGTATGGACAGCTATTACATACGGGAATATTATGATTGAGAGTGATCAAATTCCATTATAAAGTGTTTTGCATCATACAGAGGCAATCCCAAACTAAAATAGCCTCAAATCAGGTATCTAAAATTACCTAACTATCAATAGCAGATATGTATACATACAGTGAGGGCTTGTTTGTTTATTTTTCGCGGCTTCAAACAATTCCCCTAGAACGCGTAGTCTAACCTTATGAAGTCGTTGGTTCATCTCTCTTCAGTGAGTCGTTTGTTTGAAGTCGTTCATTTGAACGATACGATTACCGACCAGCCTCGAAGAGTATTGTGTTGCCTATAGTAACGACTCACTGAGTCAGGGAATATAGTATCGTGGAGAATACGAGTATACATATACATCATACTATGAAAATGAAATGAATGGTTAGGGTTGCCGAAGTTATTGTATTTATTTAAGTATTAATATTTTTGGTTGGAATTGAATGTAACGAATGTATACTGTCTTCCGAAAAAAAAAGGGATATGTGGTCCGGTTTTGAGGAATTACCGAATTCTGCATCAAAATGCAATTTTTGCTCTCAAATCACATAATTTCAACGTATAAGTTAATGAGACATCTCAAAACAAAACAACCGGGATCCTTAGATAGTGTCTGTACTGTTATGACGTTGTCAGTTCGCAGTTCAGGTGGTGCATACTGCAGACACGCTTCGCACAATTGAACGAGACATACGAGTATGTAACAAAAGAGTCGTTCAATCACCGCTCACTTAGATGAGTCGTTCATTTTGAACGACTCGTTCGCGAACGATACAACTAATTTTCACGTCTATTGATGTAAACAGTTGATCAGCAATTGGCATTCTCTATCTGTTTATAACCTTAGACATGACTCCCTATAGATCAACTATAGGCAAGTTTCTCTGTGTGTTCATAACAGAAGCCATCTGTTGTTTCTGAATATATGCCTTGGACAGATGTAGATAAATAACAAGAAAGGTGTGTGCGGAATGACGTGCAAAAATAAACAATGCATGGCAGCTTAGGTTGTGAAGAATTTCATAGAAACGTGGGTTCTAAAATGCTTCGGTTTGATGACACAGACAAACACAAACTGAAATTTTCTGAAAATTACCTTTTAACAAATTTTGCTAAAATTTGTTGATGTTTTATTTGATATTAGATAGTACTTACGCATCGCCGAGAATTATATAAACGCGAATTAGAAAAATATATCTAAACTTTTGGCGATACAACCGTTTTCCTGCAATATTTCATCGACATCAAATGTGTTATCTGGGCAACCAGACCTGTCAGACCTACTGACTTACAAGACTTCAACCAAGAGCAAAGGTCCTATGGACCGCTCTGACGGGCAGTAACGAATAGAAGATCAAATGTGTTATATTAGAATAATCTCAAAAACTACACAAGATACAATACTGAAACTGTAAATAATGTATTAGGGACTAATACCAAGCATTTTGCCTAATTTTTCAGACGGTCAGTTCACTACAATTGGTTGATATTTGTCTACTGTTTTTTCGTTTTCTCGAGTTTATTTTCCAACATTTTGAACTCGCAGTCGTTTTAATCGTACAATATTTCGAAAACAAAGTATATTAATAGTTTTTTAAAAAAAAGTCCAGTGATTTATATTGCTTCGTAACGAAACTGGATCACGTGACCTACTTATTTGACAAAGTCATGCAATGATCAATAATTATTTAGCACATGCTACATACTAACTAAGCTAAGACAGTTTTAAATATAATTAGTTCAGTTTGCGTGCTAACCTTATAAACAGCTCAGTGCATTTCAATATGAAATATTTTTTTATAAACTTGCAAGGCTCATCTGTGACCGTATAAGTATTTCAGAATATGTATACATAAGAGTATGAAGAAATCTTGAAAAAAATGTTTTTCTTCACAACAAAGGGTGATAAACACATCCGCTTTCTTTTAAAATGTGCATAATGTATGTTTTTTTAATATCCTAGTGCATATGTTTAATTACTCACAAATACGAAATCTTTGAATTTGTTTAGAAGAAAACAAAACGTTACCGTTTGTTTTTCTTATAAAAATAACATTTATCTTTCGGACTGGTTTGTGATTAATATCGGCAAGGTAAACTAGTGCATTTTACTATAAAATGCCCTTGGAACGAACCCTGTATCAATAAACTGGTAGTGATGCCCGGAATACAGGTGTTTTATGCATAAACAATTAGAAATTCTCAAAAACTACTCGACTAATCTACTCCATTGTTGTTGTGGTTATTTAGAAGTACAGATTTGAAGAACAAGTGCCAAAATCTGCATTTCGCCTAGGTTTTCGGCCATAACTTTACTGCTATTAATCGGTTCTTTTTACGTGTGGACACATTTTGTAGGTCTCATAAATACCTAAAAATCTTATTTGAAGAGTGTTTTTGTTCCTGTCAACACTTTTGATTGAATCACAAAAAACACGATTTCAAATTCTTTGTTGTCGAACAAAAAGTTTTCCCACAAAAATTGGTGTACCCATTTTATGCGTCTTTTAAATACCCCCTTGAATAACTTGCATCAATAAAACCAATTTTTACAATTATTTCGCAAACCAGTGGCATTTTCGTATAATATGATTAGACTAAATATCAAATGATGGCCCTGGATTTGGAATTAAAAAATGTCGACCCCAGCCTAACTAGCGCCATCAACTTCTAGGCTTGCAGATTACCCACATTTAAGAGACAAGTTTAATTAAAGCGACCGACAAACTTCCGTGGTATAGCTCCTCCTTCGTTTTTTAACACCTGCAAAAAAATCACAATTGAGTTCTGATGCACATTAATGACCTCTTTTTTTCGCGATAAATCTGATCCGCAACTTTGCGGATGACAGCACTTTGTAAGCAAGCATTCACAGTTCTGCAGTTTACGTTTGATAGGGGAAGACATGGTGACTGTCTGCCAGTGGACGTGATATTTTGTTGCATTTTATTGCTTCTAAAGCAACTATTTTCTGGAGTGTCGAAAATGAGGAACTATCTGCCTAAAGACTTCTCCGTCCAACAAACCGTATATTGGGTAGCTCAAAAATCTGAATCCATGTACCATTCTCGATCATTTCCGTAGAAATCGATATTGTTCAAAAAATTAAAATATCTTTTCTATCAACGGTAGATCAACACGTTTAGGATAAATAATAATAATAATAATAAATGGCCTTTAGTCGTCACATGATTACAAATAAATATAATGTATATCCAGTCAGCCTTGGTATTTCAATGGTTATCAATAGAAGCGAAATTGGTTAGTAATTTCGGAATGCTAAAGGTCAACTCCTGATTAATACCACTTAATGCTAGTTATCAAGTTTTTGTTGTGGGTAATTTTGAGGCGTAACTGCATTCTTTCGAGCGACATTTTTAAAATATTAGAAAGTTTCATACTTCATACGTCCACCAAATCTATGATCATTTCAGCTATTACGAATACATTCATTCAAGGTTAAAAATGCTAATTTTTGACAAATTTCCGTTTTGAAATCACAGTCAGATTTTCGTTAGGCGTGCTTGAGTATTTTTTGACTCGTTTTGACGTCGAACATTTCTTTTTCAACGGCCTGTTTGGAGGAGTATTCTTAATACTTATTGTCTGATTGTTCCTTGATGTGTATATAGAGAGTGACAAACAGTGTTTTCAATTGAATAGATCATTTCGAAATTCTGGGTATAAACCTCGTAAGTCATTACATTCCTTCACCTTCAAATAACTCCATGTAACACACGTTCAGTGCGACAACATCGTAAGTCCGGGGCTTATGCGGTTTTTGCACGCACTCGACGGTACTTGTATGGGTCATTTAAAAAACAATACCAGCATCCCTGAATTAGTTTATTATTGTGCTATAAGGCCAAAATTTATCGTTTTTAAATTCACTAACGAGAAAAATATGATTGACGACTTTGCTCGAAACCACTTGGTTAAGAGTTTTCTTGTTTCCTAAAAAACTATTGACTCAATCCTTCTCATTTGTATGACCAAAAAGGTCCTTCAAATGTACGCTACGCTACAACACTTATCTTGAAATGTGATTTTTTTTTTTTTGAAAAAATACATTTTTATGTCTGATAATCAAATAAGCACCTGGGTTCTTCTGCAACTGATTGCTGATTATTGAAGAACGTGACACGCCTTTTTTTAATAAATAAGAGGAAATGATGGGGTGATTCCTCTTCCCTTGTATTAAATTAATTAATGAATTAATAAATTAGTATAAATGAAATCTAAGGGTCGGACAAAACAAAACAGCTATCAAGTGGCGTGCAAATTTAGGCCCTAAATAAATCGGAGAGTAGGGAGGTTAACAGCGCCAGTCACTCAAGACGGATTAAGGCACAAATCCCCGAGATGTTAGTCGGAACTTGTTTTGCTTGACCACCACACAAAGAACAGAATCTAACAGTAATGATGAAACCTAATTAGCTGTATACAGAGAGCCAAATAAAACAAGATATCTAAAAATGAATCACAATACCAGCCCCTTCTCACTTCAGTTGGCCCACTTCAAGATTTGTACCAAAATATGCCTTTATAAACTAAACATGACGAAACTATTTACTTCTAAAACAATTTATTTTCTCAAAAACATTTTAGATACATTCTAGTCGTAAAAAATACATATTTGTAATCACTTAGACCTATAACTAATAGAACATCTGAACAAATAAACAATGTGCGAATAAATGCGCGTAGTTAACAAAGCAACAATTGAAAGATAACCATTGGGTAACATCACCTTTATTTTTTATTACGGATGAAATTCTTTGGGGCATAGTGTTAACCAAGTTTTGGCAAAAATTTGGTGGAAAACATATTTCTTGAAGCTTTTGTCTCTGTCCGGTGATTGTACGAGCAGGATGTTGTCGTAGATCCTTTTTCATCTCGTGCCACAAAGTTTCACTAGGTGACAGATCTGGACTGCTAGAAACCCATTTCAAAAGTGGTACATTATTTTCTTCCATCCATTTTGACGTATGGCACGCTGCACCATCTTGCTGAAACACAAAATCTTGGCCGGATGTCAAACATTCTTCCATCACTGGTAAAAGCGATTCTTCTAAAATTGCCAAATATTTGTTTGTATCCACATTTCCATCAATAAAATGAAGTTTTCCTACTCCTTTTGATGACATACTGCCCCAGACCATAATGGATGCTGGAAATTTCACTTTTCTCTTCAGACAGTCAACATGGAATGCTTAATTTTTTTTGCGAATAACTCTACTGCGACTGTCACCAACACAAACTTCGAATCGGGCCTCATCAATCCATTACATTGCATACCATTGTTGAGGTGTCCATTGTCTATGTTCTTTAGCCCATCTAAGCCGATTTTTCTTTGGCAGTGGAGTTAATAGTAGCTTTTCTTTGGCCTATAAACAAATTGTGCAACTTTAGGGTTTTTACTTCACTTTTTTTATAAGAAAACTTACCTTGCAAGTGCTAAATTCCAGTTTGTGGGCCTCTCTATGAGTTGTGGACCTCGAAATTCTCCTTCCAACAGCGTCACTCCACAGAACACTTAATTGTAAATAATTGGCACGCCTGTTTTTCACGATTATTCTTCTTAATGCTCTTCGGTCGGCATTTGTGATATTACTTTTTTTCACATATCGTGGCTTAATATTAACTGAACCAGTTACGTTATATCTTCTAACAATATTTCTCACACTGTACCGCGATAAGTCTATATATTGCCAAAACAAGCAGCACATATGCTCCGCCAGTGGAATGCAAGTTAAAAGAAAAGATGTTATTAAAAACTACCTGACAATAAAATTAATAGACCATAATAATTATCCCTGCAAAACGTTTACCATGGTACACGTACGAAAGCTTTACAAATATAGGCCTTACAAATATTTCAACGCCTAAACCTAAACTTATCTGGATAATGGTCTTCTTTCAGTTACAGTTCTAGGTACATCTGAGATGTCCACAGCTTACAAACACTCAGGTCAAAAATCAGTGGCCAGTAGTGAGCAGTGACGTTAGAAACTTCACTAGGTAGGGGCTGCTTGCCTCGTTTCCAAAATTTATGGTATAAAAAAACCCTAGATAGAGAAAAAGACTGTTTAAAAATCTACTCTCTACTCTATGTTTGAGACAGAACTACACATTTAAAAGACTCAAACTTGAAGAAAAATCCATGTACATTCTCTTTTACAAGAAAAATACTTTTCTTTCTGCAAGGGCAAGAAAAGTTAAAAATTTACAATAGTCATATACCCTCAGAAGGTTATCCCTTGTTGAAAGTTATAATATCCAAAATCATGATTAATGTAATCTAATAAGCCCACTACACTATATGTGAATTCGTAAAATGCCATGTTTTTATAAAAGGGAAGAGATGGCTTCCAAGAAAATCGGCTGCGAAACAGCTACAAGGCAGCTACAAAACAAAGGTGGAGGAGTGTGAATGGTGGTTCCCCACAATGGCTTTCCACTAAAAGGAATCAGATGTTGAACAAACTTCTTCAGGACAAGCATTAAAGGACGTATACAAAAGAGAACTTACCGCTGGAGGTTAAAATCCCAGTACAAAATGGACGGGGTAGTACCCTAACCAACACAACTAAACGTAAGGTACAAGATAAAAGGGTACTACTCCAGAAACTGGTGCTTGGGGCGTTAGTATCCCAAAATCTAGAAGTTAACGAAAAAAAACGCCCGCATATAACCAAAATCACAGCGGAAAGCAAAAGTAAAATGGCGCTGGACGCGTCGGTACGCAATTAAAAGAAGGTATCTTGTTAGTAAATCACAGTCCAAAAGAAGGTAACTTGATAGTAAATCAAAATTTAACAGATGGTATCTTGATAGGAAAGTAAACAGAAGGTTAAAATGAATGGCCTTGAAGAAGGTATCTTGATAGAACCAAATGTCCCTATTCTGCTAGTACGTGTAAAGTCACAAGGTGGCGCGCTGGTTGCCACTGGGCAGAAACAAATCTACGAGGGACCAACAATATTTTATGAGGAGATTTCTCAGATAGAAGAACGAGAATGACAGATATAATACGTGAGAAATTCTACAATCAATAAACTATGAAATTTGACAAAAGAGAATTATTAAAAAGGGTTTGGTCTAGGAATCGGCACTCTATAATCAATGAAGAGAAATTTAAAATACTCATAAGTGATCAAAACAGTAAAAAGAAGGGTTACGTGATTTTATCACGTGACAAACGTTGAACGAATAAGTCTATGTACTTTTTCTATAATCATGGTTTAAATGGAAACGAGTTTGCATAGGATTCCCACATGCACATTAAAATATTAATTAGGCAGTTAAAAAGGGGATGTTCAACACTAATGCTATACTTTAATTAAAACAAGTGCCATTATAAAAACAGTGGATATCTTAATTGCATATGAAATATATTTCCAATAGGTTGATACAAGATCACCCGTATACCCCACATTCACAATAATCTCTCCAGACATTGCGAGAATCCATCCCCCATCGAGAACAGTTCACTTTCCACAAAAGGTTTTGGTCTGAAAAATATGTCGGCCAACAAAATATTTTCTTTTTCCAAGGTTCTATCTTCCATAGGATACATAGAAACTGTCGACTTCACAGGCTTGTGTTGCAGCATGGCATGTTCGGATTTGAAATGGTCAGTTTGTGTGCTACAATTGGTCACTTCCGGCTTTTTCGTACATTCTATTAATACTTTATTCAGCTCTTGGATGACAGATATCGCGTTTTTTAATTTTATCTTATATTCGCTAGATTTTTTCGCATTCTCTTGACTTTGCAATTCCAGTGTTTTATGAGTTTCTCGTAGTGACTTCAATTCGTTTTCGAGTATGTCTATTTTTTCTATATTTTTGCTTATTTCACTTTCGTTACCCTTCAGAAGTTGTTTTTGTTTTTCGCATTTTGCTTTTAATTCATTTATTTGGGTCATATACTTTTTTGAGTCTGCATATATTTTTTGCCATTTTCTATAATTTCTTGCTTATTTATACTAACTTCATGTTGAAGTAAAACTATTTCTTTATCAAATTTGGTACTGTTTTCATTGATCATCCGTAACAAATCCTTGTTGTGTTTCTGCAAATCGGAGATTTTTGCTTTTAAATTGCTGTTTTCTATTTGCAAACTCGCATTTTCGTCCGAGGTAATTTGAATTTCTGATAGCAGTCCTAAAGTATTTAGATTATCATCTGGTTGACTGGCAGTTTTTCCCGTTACGAATGATGGTCGAACTCGGGAATTTTCACAATAGCTGGGGTCCAAAAAGGAGGCGACATTATTTGCAATTATTTGAAATTTGGAAAAGTTTGACAATACCTATGGTAATGACATTGAACAAAATTTATGTCGTTTAGTCATGTTCATTGTCAGAAACATGACAGAACAAGAGAGAATCCGTAACATGCACGAGTTGTTGGGCTTATTTACTTCATGTTCTGCGGCGCTAGTGCCATCTGCTTCAGAAATGGCACACGCGCAGTCTCGTAAAAAGTGGCGTCAAGTAAGTAGACTCTGTACTTCCCCACATGTATAACAAAAATTAAATGACCTCCTCCTCTCCCTGAGATAAATTCCTGCAGTCGCACATAATCGCTGCGATGACCAATCCCGCGTGAATGACGTTATTAGTCTCTACCATGCACACAGCCCACAGCAGCGCGGAAGTGATTGTCGACTGTGACGTACGACGATCGTTGGAGATATGTCTAAGTTTTAATGCTAAATGTAAGGGACATCTATGATGAGTGAAATATGTCTAATAATTGCGTACAATTACTGGAGTTGGAGGCGTATAAATATACCAACGTCTGAAAATTGAGATATACGCAGTTCCACCCACTGCAACTACTAACCCCCAATTTGTATCCCCTACAAAAATGTTCGGGATACTCTGAATCAAATTTTTATTGTATTTTTTTTTTTCGTTTTCGACATACGGAAATGAGTGACATGGTTTTTCGTGATGTACATGTCACATAAGAGCCAAAAAACGAAATGTATCAAACTGTTGACAATTTTTTGCGAGTGAAGCGCGTGTACTTATAGTATATATTTTAGAAGTTTTGTTTTAAATATTTAAAACTTGCAAAACCAAATTTAAATTGAAACCTTATTTTGACATTACATTCTTGGAACATTTGTTTTTAATATCCTTTTCTGTTTTACCTATCACGAAAGAAAAGGTATGTGCTTTACAACATACATTTTTGTCTATAGGCAACACAAGCCCACTGCTGCTCAATTTCGAAAAATTACTCGTCGTTGTTGGTTTACTTCTTACGCCACTGGGCAAGAAAATATTGTAATCGCGAAGAAGTTTCGAAATGAGATATGTTGATATAATTATGTCTGCCTGTCTGTCCGCTAATCCTTGGCCCGCCTATAACTTGGAAAGTACTGCTCGGAACAAGGTTACTACTATGCCAAAGACGAAAAGCTTTGTAGTTTGTGAAAATCGGTCCAGTGGCGGTGTTGAAAAAATGCCAAAAAAGAAAAAATAAAAATCGCTTATACTTCGATTGTTGCCGTTTCAGATGATCCTGAACATTTTTTGAAAAAAAAAATAGGTATTATAAATTAGGGTGTGTGTGTGGAAGGGGGAGGGTGTATCTCATTTTTTCATTATTATATTCATACGGTCCCGTTAATTATACCAATAGCTATTTTTCACTCATCATATTATGATTCTCCATACATTTTTTGACATGCATCTCCTGTTACATGGGCTCAGCGCCCGGCGTAACGATCTACTTGATTGTTCTGCTCGTACTGCGGCGGCAGAGTTGCCACAACGCTGAATTACTGGCTTGAATTACACCGTATTACTGGCAAACCGCTAAAGCCTAGAATATGGCTAGTATTAACCACCATAACCGTGTTGAACCTGTCAGATTATTTTATCTATGACAAATGACAACAATGCTATGCGATTTGACGTTTCATCAACGGTTTGTGAGAATTAAAAAAAACGCCCTGTAAGAAGGGTTTTGACAACATTGTCACATTTGCGAGCTATAAGTTTTCTGAGATTTGTTGGCGAGAAAAAGTTGTTAAAAGATGGAAGTTGACCCAGGAGGATCAGCAGACAACGCAGTTCCACATACTATGAGGAAAGAGCTGAGCCTTAGCGGAAACCAAGCAGAACCAGAAAACATGAGCTCACTGATGCAGATGTCATCGGAGCAGAAAACTGATGCTGATTATAGACGACCAGGCGAGGCAGATTCGAGACCTAATGGAGACCATCAAGGACTAGACAGCTAAAATTGACAGCCTGACCGCCCAGGTAACAATATTACTAAATTCAAAGCAATCCCCTAAAGAACGGACAAACCCTAAAAAGACCACTGAGAAACGTTACTGATGATCATCTCACATCCACAGACGAAGACGTACAGACCGAAGGATTTGTAAAAGCAAAATCAAGAAGAAGGAAAGGCGACAAGGCTGATCGATCAACCCAAGACTTTCCTCCCCTTCCGAATACAGGATCAATTTCACACCTCCCCCCAATTCATCAAATCGAAACACCATAAATGCTTCTACTACCAAGCCAGGGACCATGTTATCTACCTGTCAGGTGACTCCGTCAGCCGATGTTACTTCTCCTCCGTCATCGCGTCCAACCGTCGTGGCATCATCACAACCCTCACGACAAGGGCGCATAACCCCGATCGTCTTACGCGACGGGACGAGATGACGTACTTCAAATTTAAAGTTTATTTCCCTAGGTATTAAAATAGATCGCGCGGTTGCCGTCGATGCGGGAATAAGGATTATTCCTAAATCCGAGGACGACTACCGTAAGATCGTTCTCCTATTCCGAGAGGAAGAAGTGCCCCATCACACTTTTCCTCTCCCTTCGGAACGGAACATCCATGCGGTGGTTCGAGGAGTTCCCGTCAACTTTTCGGATACTGAGATTAAGGGAGAACTGGAGCAGAGGGGATATAGCCCTCTCCACATCATTCGATTGAAGCGCAGCGGCGGCGCGCCCATGCCGTTGGTGGTCGTGATACTGCCCAAGACTGAAAAGTCTCAGCAAGTCAGTGGCGGCCGGTGGCTGTGAGAAATGGGGGGCTATTGTAGGGAAGGGTGGCCTGCCGCAGTCACCGCCGGAGGCAAAGAATTTTTACGGTGCCACGCCCAAAAACTTCCATTTTGAGCCTTCAAATTCAAATATACATTTTTAGAGCTATAATTTTTTTTGCATTTTTTATGTCCTGATTTTGTGGATGGATCAGTTGGCAATCCTATACCTATATATTTTATGTACAGTCCTCTGTATAGGAACAAACATATTTTAGGTACGAGAACTTATCGCAAAAGAAAGCAGCATCTAATATGAAAGCAACAGAGCATCTATTATCAAAAGAACAACAGTACTCAAAAGTATAGTTTTTCACTTTCTTACAACACATGTAACTATAAATAACTGGAAAAGAGAACAGAAATACGGTATACCTAAATGTATTATTGTATTATAAACGACTAAGTATACCTACCTACAGCTAGAGCAAACATTGTGTTTCAACTGTCACACTTCACACTTCTATTTATTACAAAATATTTTTTAATGTTTATATGTAAAGTCTAATCTTCTGTCTTTCTGTGAAATAAAATGTTCCATCACTTTTTCGTCGAAATTGCTGATATTATGTACCAGATTCTTATTAACAGACATCATTGCCAATGCATTCAGTCGTTCATTGCCCATCGAGTTTCTTAAAAACGATTTTATCCTCTTAAGGGTTGAGAAACAGCGCTCTGCTTCGGAAGTTGACATGGGAGTAGTTATAATTATTTGCAACAACTTAGTTACTTCGCTAAAAGTTTCCTCTAGGTTGTTATTAGTCAATAGGGACAGCAAATTCAAACCACCTGTAATATTTTTGAAGTCTTCCCTCATGTACATTACTTCTAATTCGGTTTTCAGTTTTTCTTTATTTACCATTGGATAATAAGTCACAACTGAATTCAGTATTTTTGCTGGAAAATATCTCGAATAGTTTGTGAAGTTTTGTGTATCTAATAAAGATGCAGCTTCTAGATGACCCCTGTAAGAAAGTCTCTCTTTTGTCTGTACAATTATTATATCGCAAACTTCTTTTGCAATAATACAATTTCTTTCTTCGGGTCCTACTTTTCTGCGTTTATTTCCATTGTCTCCATGCTCATTTTCAACAGTTTGCTGTATATCCTCTGTAGTGTCCCTAATCAATACAATGGCCTTCTCAAATACGTCAATATCTTTTAAAAGTGGTACACTGTCTTTATTCCTACTTTGAAACTGGTTAAACAAATTAGCTACGTGCGGTAGGGTTTTGTGAAAGAAAGTCAAAAAAAAGATGAAATCAGAATCTTCGAGTGCTCTTCTTAAACCGTATGCCTCCTTACTAGTAATTGTTTTATCACATTTATTCTCTAACTCCCGGAAACAATCAATAAGACTTTCACGGTTCTCAAAAACGGCACTGACTGTGCGAATGTTATAATTCCACCGTGTTGGCGCAACCTTTGGCATTTTGGTTTTAACTATTTTTTCCAATAAATCGCATCTGTGCGTGGAGTTGGAGAAGAAACTTGGAATTGCTGACAGGTTTGAAAAAAACACTTTTACTTTTGGATTTTGGCTGGCTGCTCTCTGCATAATTAAGTTCAGTTGGTGAGCGTAACAGTGTATAAAATGAGCGTTCTGATATTTTTGTTTGATTTTGTTTGAACTCCACCACTGCTACCGCTCATTACGTTTGCACCATCATAAGTTTGCGCAATTAATTTGTGGGGTGAATCTTTTAATAATGGGCCTAGTTCTTCTTCGATACACTTTGCCAAACCTTCAGCTGTCTTGTCCGTAACGCTCAAAAAACGCCAAAATCTTTCTTGTATTTCACCTTCATGGAGATATCTAAATATCATTACCATTTGACAATGATGTGAAATATCTGTTGTTTCGTCGCACTGTATAGCTAAAAACTCTGCTGCATTAATTTGCTGTCGAATTTCTTGTTGGCAGACTTCCAACATACTATCTAGTATTTCATTTTGTACTGTTTTAGAAGTACCCTTAAACAGAGTCGCACTTTTTAAATGTTCCTTTAATATTGTATCCAGTTCGGATGTAAAATTAATCAACTCTCGAAAAATGCCACGATTTTCAGAGTCTTCACTTTCGTCGTGCCCTCTTAACGCTAATTCCAATTTACCGCAAAACTTTATACAGTTTATTATTCTTTTTAAAAGATATCTATTTTTGTCCACTTGCTCGTTGTGCTTAATAATATTTTGCCTGTAAGCGGAATCTAACTGAGCAGCGATACTAGCTGTTCCCAATAAAGCTAATTCTGTCGAACAAATCATGTGACGAGCCGAATTTTCATGCTTACTAATTTTCTGGTTTATATGCTTTAAATCTTTAAATCCAGTTCTTGTCCATGTCTTTTCCGCTGCATCTGAATAAACAGTAAGCACGGAAAACAAAACAGGGCGTTTAATGTGCCACAACCGCATATCCATTTGTTTTTGTTATAGATATCTTTCTTAAAATGTCTCTTAAACAACCAGCTTTCGTCGATTTATCAGCCTGAGTAAGGTTGATATTTGGAATCGGCCTTCCAAGGGATTTTATTATTATTTTTTCAGCAAGCGGATGCCGAGAAAATTCACCTTTTAACAAATTTTGTACTTCATTTGCCATTTTAAACTTTTTGAACGCCCGAACGACGGCACGGGGACGCGACGAAGCGATTTCGTACACACGTAAATCGGGACTGGCTAAAAATTATTTCGCCAACTCGCGTGTTAAAATCCCGTATAAAACTCGTAAGCGCGTGGGAGGTATGACGTAGCGAGCCACTCAATCAGGTCGGCGATCGCGGCAAAAATTATTCTAGCCTCGAATCGATAGGGAATCTAGCTCGCGACTTCGGGGTATTGGGATCGGATAATATATATATATATATATATATATATATTGCGTGTTGCGTAACTGGCTACTATTAAAATTCAGGTTTTGATTGAATTTTCGTATATATCTGGAAATTATTTAATCACAAAATCATATTTTAAATTTTTTGTTAATTCGCATTTTGTCTTGGGGGGCTGTAGCCTTTTCGCCCCTATGGACCGGCCGCCACTGCAGCAAGTGTTCAACGAACGCGAACTGCTGGGACTGGCCATTCGAGTTGAGGTTCAGAAGAACTCCAGACTCATTGGGCAGTGTCACCGCTGCCAAAAGTATGGGCATGCGCAGCCATATAGCACTGCACCGCCCAAATGCTTAAAATGTGCAAAGGACTACATGACGCATTTGTGCCCCCTCACAGAAGGGGGAGAGCGCAAGTGCGCGAACTGTGGAGAGGGACATCCCGCAAATAGCCGGACTTGCAAGTTCACTCCAAGGAGGAACTTGCAAGTTATAGCGCAAAGGCGCAATCTATCATACGCGGACGCAGCTAGGGAGGCACCCTTGCCTGCCCCCTCTGCCCAACCTCCCTTAAGCAGGCAAAATGTGGACCTGGCAACCGCGCTAAGGTCCTTACAACAAATAATAAGCCCACTGATTAGCGCTACCCAAGCGTTACAGGCGATATTTCCTGTAAATGTCTAGGTACAATAGTAGACAGCCTTGCATTCATCAAATTCCTTTTTGGAATTGTTTGGGCATGAGGGATATTCCCAAAAAATGGGAATTTCATGAAGCTTTTTTGGATGAAGGTATAGATGTGGCCTTGCTGCAGGAAACTTTGCTTAATCCGGGAGATCGTTTAGCTCTCCCGAATTATGATGTTACTCGAGGTGACAGATTGAATGGTCGAGGCGGCGGTTTAGCAGTGTTGATTAAGCGCGGTATAGACTATTATAGAAGCACTAATGCGGAGATGCATAGCATCGGAGCAGCTTCTGTGGTGGTCAATATGGCGGGAGGTGAAGATTACATCGGTGTACGTCAGGTGTGGTGCCAGGCTACAAGAGGCGGATCTGGAGGTCCTTTTAGACTACTCGGGTCCGCTTATTGTGTCTGCAAACATCGAGCATGGAATTCTAGGTTGAATTCCACTAGTGGGGATCGATTGTACAACCATGTGATGCGAAATGGGTACCTTATACATAAGTAGCACTGAAGAGCCGACACATCATCCATTCAACCATCTTCAGGCACCAGATGTCATCGACTTCGCGATATCTAAAAACTGTAGATACAGTATCTCCTCTTGAATCATGTATGAACTCTCTAGTGACCATCTACCTGTTGTCTTGAATGTGGGCAATGGGCAAACTTCCGAGGAGGCAGCTCCTCCAAGGAAACGCATTGATTGGGACCTATACAAGTTGCTCCTTAGAGAGTTTCCCAATATCCCGATTATAGATGATGAGTCTGGAATAGGTGCCGCCCAAGCGGAGTGGACAAGTTTCATTCAAGCAGCTCTACAGCGTGCCGCTACTAAGCAGGCAAAAAGGTCTTGTCAACCTGATGACATTCGTAGGGCTACAAATCTTGTCCATGAAGTGAGAAACGCACTGCACGAACTCCGCAACGAGCAATGGAGCGACTTTCTGGCGGGAATGCTTGATTCAAGTATTCCTCTCTGGAGGGTCGCAAAGTCACTCACAAACGGAAAGCGAGAACAACTCCCACGCATCCACGGTCCTGAAGGCATAGTCTTCAGAACGGAGGATAACGTCGAGGTTTTCGCTGATGCCATGGAAAAACAGTTCTCTCCCAACTATGATCTCGATAATAACCTCGACGAGGAACAGCACATCGTACGATCCGTCAGGAAATATTTTAGGGCTAACGGCGCTAGCGGAGGTACTAAATCCTCTTCAGATGACTCTTCTTCAAAAGATTCGTCTGAGGCTTCACATAGCACATTAGCGGAACCCTCCGAGTTTCCACATTGCACACCAGCGGAGCTCCTAAGTCATATTAAAGACCTCAAGGTGCGTAAAGCACCTAGGGACGATCAAATCACCAACAAGGCGTTGAAGCTGCTCTCGCCAAAAGCCCTGACAATAATCAATGCGACGCTCAGAATTCAGTACTTCCCTGCTGGGTGGAAGACTGCTGAGGTCATCATGATTCCAAAGAAGGTGGGTTCGATATTTCCTCAGGCTTACCATCCCATAAGTCTGCTGTCAGCTCCTTCTAAACTCGCCGAAAAGGTGATTTATCGTCACCTTGAGAATTTTTCGTCAAATCACCATGTGATTCCTGATGTCCAATTCTGTTTTCGGTCCGAGCATAGCACCGAGCTACAGGCAATCAGGCTGGTGGAGCATGTAACCAGAGGGTTCACCCTCAGCATAAGTACTGGCATCTTGCTTTTGGATGTCTCAAAAGCCTTTGACAAGGTGTGGCACGCGGGCCTATATAAACTAATCTAAAGGGTTTTCCTTTTTGGCTTCTAAAATTACTGAAATCCTTTCTTGAAGGAAGGAAGTTTCGGATCAAAATTAACAGTGTTTTGTCAACAACACGGCCAGTACGGCCCGGTGGTCCTCAGGGTTCGGTCCTAGGACCAATTCTTTATTCGCTTTTCATCCATGATGTCCCTTGCCACAGCAACTGCACTTGTCGCCCAGTCGTGTACTGGTGATCTGGTTCACGATGGGTTGCAGAATGCGGTGGACGAAGTTCTAGAGTGGGCGGAACGGTGGCTGATAAAAATTAATCATTCGAAAACGCAGGCTATTTATTGCACCAAAAAGTTTGATAAACAAAGTTCCACTATATAAAATGATTATTAGACCAGCCATTACTTAAGCATGTGCAGCTTGGTGTTTTCTTGCCATGACACACATGCAAAGTCTTCAAGTACTGCAAAGCAGAACTTTGCGGACAATTTGCAACGCTCCATGGTATGTCTCAAATGAGATACTACACAGAGACCTTGACATTCCTTACTTGAGGGGTTATGTCAAGCTTCAGGCGCAGCGAGGTTATAGTAAAGCGGAATCTCACAGCAACCCTCTGTTGCGTGACTCAGTGGACTACACAGTGGAGCAAGTTCGTAAACATTCAAGGCCACGGCTCGCACTGTAATCAAAAGTTAGCGTGAATCTTTAGTAAACTCAAAATTACACTCTAACAAAACGGAATAAAAAAATTTGTTTAGTTCACCTCAAATTAATCCAAGTCAAAAAGCCTAGGTTTTTCCTCTTAAACTAAGCGTATCTGTTTTTTCTTTACTCTTCTCCTTTTTTCTTCTCTCTCCCTTTCTCTTTTTCTTTGTCTGGTTTCTGGGCAACCAGGACTGACAGATTCGACTAACGTACATTAGACAATGCCTAATGGGCAAAGGTCCTACGGATCGCCCAGACAAACAAATGACGAATAGTTAGAGAATTAAAAATTTAACATAAAAAGTAAGTACATATAATAGCTCTTTTTAATTCTTGTTTCTTGTTGGTTTTCTCTATCTGTTTGCTCATTACTCAACTTAGTTAGGCGCGATACTTGTTGAAACTACCATCGGTTTAATTTTCCATTATACATGTTTCTAACTAATTTTTTTCTCAGATGGCTTAACATGTGCTGAACTTAATCCTTGATGAACTGATCACGGCGTTGCGTAGAGTAAACTTATTTGACGACATTTTTTTGAATGCTCATAGGAAAGATAAAAGAGCAAATAATAATCCAATGAGGTTAAGACCACAATTTGATTTCAGCTTAAACTGCAATAGTAGCTGCTCTATAGGCTTGAAATATTTTTTACTAAAAACATGTGTATAAGAAGCTACTTAAATACCTTAGTACTGGAGAAGACGGATACATTCACTAAAAATCATCCAAAACTGGCAACTGACACCGGCAAAATTTTCTGTAACCTAGGCTATTCTTCTTCTGTTTTTTTTTTTTTTTTGATGGTGCTATAGGCATATGAGGTCAAACTTTTCACGTCGAATTTGCAATTCTTGGATTTACATGAGTTGTATGTTTTGAGTCCAGACCGAACAATTACCCGGTCGAGCAATTTAAAATTCATCGAAATCGGGTACAAACTACTCGGTGCATCCTTACAAAAAAGAATACCAAAAATCCTTAAAATGTTCTTCAGGGGTTACCTACGAGAAACTGAAAATCGGTTTTCCGTAAATAACTTTTGACCGACAACGAAATGCCGTAGTACAGTCAACATGGTTATAATTTGTCAAAAATTACTGCAACTGTTATAAATTAGTGTAAAAGTAATAAATTAGACTTTGGGCAGTAAAAACGCTGTTTTCACTACAATAATAAACTAATCTGGACATCACACGATGGTGTCCGTAGAAAACATACTTGGATGTTTTGAAAAGCCTTATCTACAAACTGTAAAAATGCATTCCTGTCTGATATTAGTAAAAGTAAGGCGTTTTGGTGAAAATAGTATTTTTTTACCCAAAATCTCGTTGAATTATATAGCGTTGTTCAAGGGTTATTTAAAGAAAATTTTCCAGTAGCGTC